TGGCCTCCTGGCTGAGGTTAGCCTGCTCTGGCCTCCTGGCCTGGGCAATCACTGCTCCCCTGCCTAAAAGCCTCAGATTGTGAAGTCTTTGAAGCATCTCCATGGGGCAGCCTCACGTGCAGAGGCCGACTTGCAGGCTTACCTTCAGGCTCCAGGAGGCAGCAGGGGCCCAGAGCTCAGAGCGAACAAAGGGGCAGCGCTGCTGGCCAGTTAGGGAGGAACTTCCTCTGCACGGTCAAAGAACTTAGAGGCAGGCTTTGGAGAAAGCACATGAAGTACTGTATACTGTAGAATGACATTTTGGCCAACTTCAGCTTGTCTCTCCCTCAGCGGCCCCACCCAGTGGGGTGTGGGTTAGGGCTAGCACGCTTACTTGGGGCCTGTGAGGCCCTGCACACCACAACCAGGGGGTGCGGCACCTGGGGATGCTGTAGCCATCTTAGCTCCTGGGAGCATCTTCTGCTACCGCACCACAGCAGGGTCGCCAAGAGTGCGTTGTTCTTACGTGATGGGCAGCCTTATTTATGTCCAGGGAAAGCTAAGTAAAGCTGTAGGGGAAATTCTGCTGAACCCCACAGTCTGTCAGTTGGCAACCACCGCACGTTTTAGGACAGTTCTCACCGAGGCTTCGCTGGACTTCTGCGTTGCTTACAGATCCTGAGGTGGTGTGTTCCTGGGGGAGAGATGGGAGCCTCCTCTCCCTGAGCGGTGTGGCACCTGAGGAAGGTAGCCATGCCCTGGCCGCTGCCCAGGGCAAGCGCTCAGCACTGTTAGCACGGCGGAGAGACCGTACTCGCCGGGCTCTCGTGAGGCGTGGGGCTTCGGCCTGTGATGTCAGGGGAAATACAGTGCGCAGGATTCCCCACAAGTCCTGGTGAAGGCTTTGACTTGCAGGACTTCAGTTCTAGGACAGTAAAATACTTAGTTTTGACACCTGGGTATCCAATTCCCTGTAAAATATTTGTACTGCATCTTATAAATTGTCCTAGTTTTCTATTGCGCCGTATCCTTCGGCTTAGGCTGCGAGGGCGCATTTTGGCGTTGGCCGTGCGCTCCGGTGGCTCCCGAGATCCTCAGTTCTGCTCCTCTCCCTCCCAGCTCCTGGGCAGGTCCGTGGATCTGAACCGTCTGATCACGCAGCGCGTGTCCGCAGCCATGTACAAGTCTCTGGAGCTGGCGATTGGGCGATTTGAAAGCGAAGACCTGACATCGATCGTGGTGAGCCCGAGAGCTAACTTTACCTGCACCTTCCTGATAAACTGAGCTGACAGGGGGCCAGGGAGATGGCTCAGTGGAATAAGTGCTTTCATGACAAGAGCAAGGGCCTGAGTTCAATCCTTTGTTCTGCCAAAATAATAATAAACTGAGCTGACAGAAGGCCCCAGTTTCTGTGTAAAGAACAGAAGCTAGACACTAACCGAACTTGGCCTCTCGTTAGTGTCTTTCTAGGCATCTGCGCTTAGTATCTGCAACTGGAATTAGCTTTAGAGTAAGAAATCCTAGTGGAAAATGACTTACATCTGAGGTGGAAGCTGGCGTACTCTCTCAGTGAGTGGCTGATAGACGTTCTAGTTCTTTATTATAGTCATCATGAAAAGATGCATACACTTGTGGGCTTTTCATCACTAACGAAGTACCTGGGAGAGGCTGGGCGTGGCGGCGTGCGCCTGGGGGTTCAGGGCCAGCTGGGCTGTGGTGAGCTCAAGCCTGGCTGCACTACTTAGTGAGGTCCTGCCTGGAGGACAAGCCTGAGAGAAAACTCGGAGGAAAGGTGTATTCAAGGTCTTGGTTTCAGAGGTTCCGTATCTGGTCTCTGGGCTCCACTGTCTCTGCGCCCTGGTGAAGTAGGACATCGTGGCAGGGGCCGTGGCTTGTGGCAGCCAGGAAGAGAGGGACAGGAAGGAAGAACCGGGACAGGGCGGGGCCCGCCCCTCAACCCATGCTAAGTTTCCATGCTTCCCAGCAATGCCATCAAATCCTCAGCCCATCTGTGGGCTGACCCCGTGTGGCTCCAGGGCCATACAGCACAGCCTCTTTCGCAAAGCCCCACGGCGCTGCTGCCCTGGAGACCACATCCTCAGTACGTGACCCTTGGGGAATGATTCCACATCCAGCAGCCCGCGCCATGCAAATGTCAGTAAGTGCACCTGGCGTGATAAAATTTATACGAAGAAAGGACAGATTCTTCCTGACCCTATATGCTTCCTCAGAGCCCACACCTGAGTGGGAAAATGAAGCCCCGCATCAGCATTCATGGGAACAAATCACACGTGCTGTCGCAGTGGCCGGCTTGTTGCTAAAGCACAGGTGGGCTCCTCCCAGGTTAGCCCCAGGGAAGCGTCGTGGCCCAGTGCCACGGAGATGTATTTTCATAAAAAGGAGGTCAGTGCCCACTGATGCCCTTTTGGGTGGCCTCGAAACTCATGAAAACCATAACCTATCAGAATGAGCTGAAAGAAACCAAGAGAGTGGCCGCTGCAGCCAGGGTCGGTGGTGCACATCTGTGACGCCAGGTACCTGGGAGGCTGAGGCAGGGGGACTGCGAGTTTGAGGCCAGCCTGTACACCTCAGCAAGACCTTGTCTCAGAATAATATAAAAGAGTGGAGAGAGGGCTGTAGCTCAGTGCCGAGTGCTTGTGAGAGGCCTGAGTTCAGTTCGCCATGCTGAAGACAAAAGCAGTGGATTTGCAACGAAGAACAGCATGAATCATTTTTTTTTGAAATCCAGAAATAAGCTGGAGACCAGAAAGTTTTGAAAAAGATGGAGCTTCTATGAGATTTAAAAGCAAAAAATCATTTAAGAGATGAAAATTGTATCAGAAAGCACACAAAAAGTAATGACTTTAGAGAGATACAATGGAAAGAAGAAAAAAAAATCAGAAAGCTCAGATACAGGGAAGATGCAGTATGTATTTCATAGAGTTCTCAACTGAATAAAAGAAGATTGGGGGGAAAGAAGATTAACACTTTTATTTACAGAAAACAGTGATAAAATAGAAGACAACTTTAAAGTACAGATGAGGGGCTGGGAGTTAGCTCAGTAGAATAAATGCTTGCCTGGCAAGTGCAAGGGCCTGAGTTCAATCCCCAGTTCCGAAAAAAAAGTACAGATGGGTCCTGAGATCTGAGGATTTAATTGGTAGTTTTTGGCATCTGTTGTGCTTCACACCTGCAGCAGAGGCTTCCACAGATCTCG